ATGTGAAGACCCATGAAACCAATAAATTAGTTTTTTGGTTCCAATGTGGAGTTGAAACATGTAATAGATCATTCAATATCGCCACACTAAGACAATTTGTTTCTTGAGGGAACACGAAAAAAACTCACCTTTCTCATTGTTTTCAGCAATGTTTTTTGGACCCGGCCCGACAATTGACCCGTTTTGGTCAACGGGTCTGGTTGAACCGGTTCACCCGATCGGTCCAACCAGTTGACTTAAAACACTTTTTTTTTTTTTTTTTACATTTTTATTAGATTTTAGTATTTTACTCGTACATTTTTTCAATCTTACGCAAAGTGTCAAATTTGTTCTGTTGGTTGAAGGAGAGTATGGTGACTGGCAAAGGAGAGAGTAGATGCAAATATGTGTAGTCGGTGGAAGAAGAAGGGGGATGTGACCTGAGAAGGCTGAGATCGGGAAGAGGGATGTGATTGACGAAGGCTGAGAAGGTTGAGATCGGGAAGAAGAATGTGACCGGTGGAAGAAGAAAAGGGATGTGACCGGTGAAGGCTGAGATCGGGAAAAGGGATGTGACCGGTGGAAGAAGAAGAGGGATGTGACCGGCGAAGGTTGAGATCGAGAAGAGGGATGTGATCGACGGCGAAGGCTAAGATCGGGAAGAGGGATGTGATTGGCGACGAAGGCTGAGGTCGATGATGAAGAAGAGGGATGTGACCGGCGAAGGCTGAGGTTGATGATGACTTCGTTTGATCTCTTTTGCTTCTTCTGATTTCTGGGTTTGTTTTTGCAGTGAGATGGGGAAGAAAACCTGATCTGTTTGAGTTTTTTTTTTTTTTAATTGATCTGATATTTTAATTTGTAATTTAAGTGTATGGTATTTGTTGTAATCACATACAAAAAAACTGAGGTAAAATGGATAAATTATGTTAAAAATAAAAAAATAATTTACTTAACATTAAAACTAATAAAATTCTCAATTGATTTTCAGCCTGCTGGGTGAAGCAGTTTCAACGAGCTTAGCGGGCTGGTGGGTTTTAGCGGGCCAAAATGGGCCAACTTACAAAACGGACCAAAGTCATCAACTGGCCCGTTTTGAAGCCCGGGTTCGGTTCAACCGGTTCAACGGCTGGGCCGGGCCAGGTCCAAAAACACTGGTTTTCAGATGGTTCTCCATGCGAAACCCCTCTTGCTTGGCCAAAATCTTGCAGCAAAAAAGGTTATGAAGATGGAGGCATATGTTAGTCCCACCATGGGAGATGTCAAGGAGAGGAAACTGGATTCAAAGAGAAAGTGTTTATGTATGTTTCAAAAATCAGTTCAAATGAAAAATCATGGTTGATGGAATAGGAAATTGAGCACAGAAAACTCAATTTCATGGTATGTTATTCATCCATCTTTTACGTTTGCTATGGTTATATTTTGAGTTTTCCCAAGAGAACTCTTTATGGATGTGGCTTTGATGTTCTAAACTCCCACGGCTTCATGGCAAAGAATGATTGATGGAGATGACGACAAAGGAAAACTAAGCACAACATCTTAGTTTCTTTATGTGTTCTTCTACTATCTTTTATGTTTGTATTTTTGATTGTTATGAGTTTTTTTCATAAAAAAAAAAAAAAACTCTTCATGTTTATGTATTTGTGAACTCCATCGTTTTATGGCAAAGAAGTTTGGTGGAGGAGCAACCAAGACCAAGCACAAAATCACAACTCCAGAATGTATTGAAGCAACAAAGATCCACGGACAAAGCTGCTACAATGGCGGAGTTGCTGAAAATGTCTAAGGCTCTAGAATATGTTCAAATTGCAAAAATCTAACAAAGATGAAGCTGATTTGCAGGAGGAGCTGAAATATTTAAGAAGATGGTAGTTGGTAGCAAACAATAAACAAAGCCAAGGCACAAAGAACTGAAAATGGCAGAGTCAATGTTCTAAAGTAAAATTTTGTTTTTGCAGCTTTAATGCCAAGGAGGAGTTTGTTGGAGCTATGGCATGAAAGCTGAAAATGCAGTGAAATGAGAGCTACTAAATGATGTTGCAATATGACTGCACGGTAGCAGCAAAGTGACAACAGCATGGAGCTGCACATGGGCTACAAGAAATGGTAGCAAACTTCATCATTTTAGTCAATGTTTTAGGAAGTTAATAATTATTGTATTAGATAGAAAAATATTATTGTTTAATGTGTAGCCTTCCTCTATAAAAGGGAAGGAAGAAATTGATGAAAATTGAGAGAAAGAGAAAGCATGGTTTCTCCTCTCTGGTAAGGTGAATGTCTACACCCTTCCATGCTTATGGCTTTATGTTTGATGTTATGTTGTATTGTTTCTGCTAGAAATAGTAGAATATCAATGGAAGAAAATGGGTTCTAACCTCACCAAAAGAGGGAACTCTGGGTGTCTCTCGTTCTCCTTTAAGCCCTCTCTCAATCCCCCCTTCTTCCCCCCTTCTTACCACCAAAAATTCGACAAATGGTATCAGAGCCAATGGTCATTTCGATCTTGGGCCAAGCTTAGCAAAATGAGACTATATGTTATGTAAACCCATGAAGAGTATACCCATGGATGATATTGTGCCTATGATGAGTATACCCATGAATCATGTTATGTATGTATGTCAAATCATGTCATGTATGTATGTCAAAAAAAAAAATGGATGAACTCTCACGAGGGCATTCACAACTTACAAGTGAAAGGGGGAGTGTTGAAGTAGTACGTTCTCTTGTGAGTGTGAAGAGATAAGATGCCACATTGAAGAAGAAGAAATATAGAAGGAAAGAGTAGTTTATAAATGTGAAGACCCATGAAACTAATAGGTTAGTCTTTTGATTCCAATGTGGTGTCCAAACATGTAATAGACCACTCAATGTCACCTTGTTAAGCCATCCCCCCATTAGTAAGGTAAATAAGAAGGCTAGAAATCACCCGGCTGCCAGTGCTTCTTCCGAGTTCAACATTTATATAGATATGGTAAAGTCGAAGATCTGATGGTGAACAATTAAGTTGGTCAAGTTTGCTAGCATTTTATATAGATATGTTAATTTGCACCAACTAAAAAGTACAATATGGCTTGAAAAAGCTGTCTAGTTTTCCTATAAATTTTTAATTTTTGTAATCATGTTTGCAATGATTCCTTCTAAAAATTAACTTGCTGGATAGTAATGCTACTGTCGATGGAAACCCTGCTATGTGTCATTTGTGTAACTTGGATCAAGATGTAAAATAGCCCATAGTTTATGGATTAAGTGCTACATCTATTGGGGATTAGATTTTGTGATGAGTAATAGATGCAGGGAGGCTTTCTTACAGCTTTACTGGGTCAGTGATCAGAGAAAGAAAATCGAGGCTGGGAGGTTGTATGGCGTGCTGTGGTTCGGTCTTTACGGTTGAAAAGAAATGGAATGTTGTTCAAGGACGCAGACTAATGAATTTAGGTTGTTTGAGAAGATGAAACTGAGATTAATGTTTCGTTCCTTCTGTCGACTGATTGGAGATTGAACCCGAGAGAATGCTTTAGAACTTTGCAAAGAAGCAGGTGGTTGCCAGCAGCAGCTGCCGGGCGAAAAACCATTTTTGCTCGGAGATTTTTTTCAGCTGTTTTCTGCAGATTATATGTCCTTGCTCTTTGTTTCACACTAATGTGGGTAAACTCCTTTAGGATTTGTAGAGTGTATATCACAGCTGTGAGATATACTGCATTGATTAATCAAAAATTTAAAAAGAGAGACATCACATTGAGATTAAAATGGAAAATGCAATAGCAAACTATCAAGAATTGAGATGGCAAAAATTGGGCAAATTTGACTTCAATTAATTTTAATTCAACAAGGGTAATTATCTATATTAACGTGACTCTGTTTCTTGTCTGCAAAGTGAAACACCAGAAAAGGAGGATAAATCATAGAAGGTAGAAACTAATGGTAAGGTTTGTGCGTCATGGAAATTACCCGCTACATTGCTTCTGCATGTTCATTTTCTTCCACAGTAGCTTCCCGTTAATGTTAAATGCCTTCTATGAGGTGAATGAAAATTTTGAAAAAACTTCAAAAAGTGCATTTGATCAATGAGAATGAAGACCAATGCATTGAAAATGTCTTTTGAATGCCTAAAATTTACAAATGGAGGTATCCTTGTATCCTTGTTCTTGATAGCTCCCCCATTTTTCCAGTCTTCATGCAACACAAGCTACATAAAAATGCCTGTTCTTTTCTGGAACTTTTCATATACGTTTCCTGGGGGCCTTCTCAGCAGGAGGTTCTGTTGCAGCTGGCTGATCTATCTAATGAAAAATAAAATATAATAAATTAGGAAAAACTAGAATACTTGAAAAAAAAGGTGTGAATACAGAAACAACTCAATGCAGAAGCAAAGCAACAGCTTCGGTGGTCAATTGAAACAAAATCAGGGAGCCAAGTCTACCACACGTTCTCTTGACCAGAAAATTTCAGCAGAACCAAGAAGACAAAACAAAAACCTTCACTTGCCAAAATAATAAAAACTTCAATCATAAGATGATAACTAAGATGCAACAGCAAATTAGTATGCATTACATAAGTAGCAATTCACTTAAATGATCTTTCACAGATTTTTGTAATGTATTGTAGATATCTGAAGTCAAGGCACATAGAAACTATATACAGAAGAAACTTCTACCACACAAAGGGCTAAGCACCTAAGTATCAGAAAACTGATAGTGACTCTGATAGGAATCAAGTGCCAGTCCCATACAAGACTGATTGATGACGCAAAACCAAGCACCAAGTGCCTCAAAGATGAAGATAGATAATGAGCTTTTGAATATGCTGTAACAGCAGAAAATACACAATTAATCAGAACAAATTCAAGGATGAATTTGAATATAAAGAAAGCATCCTGACAGATGATAATGCAAAAGAGCTTGGACCCCATTAAATTTCCAATTCAGCTGATAAACAAGTAACAAGTCAACTACTGAAGTCCTAATGGCACCTACTATGGGGTCTCTTATCCCCCCTGGAGACGACCCTTGTAGGAGACTCCCATTGGAAGCAGTCTTCCATAGAGGACCAACTCTCACAATAGAGCTGTTCCCTATGCTTCTTTCTTTCTTTCTTTCTTTTTATTTATTTATTTTTCCTTCTAACAAATGTGGTCCCACCACATTTTATTTATTTATTAGGCAAATGGTATGAATACAATGATAGGGGTTGAATATAATTGATTATAACAGATAAATTCATAGAAAAGAACAGATTCTTGTCAGCACTTGCTTCAGAGTGAAACAATCTCATTGATTGTAACTGCTGCTTTTCTTCTAAAATAACAATTTTTCTTCATGACAACTTAATACATGTAAAAATTAAAAGAAATGGTATATATTGCCACATCAAATAGTTAAGAATATCTGTATAAGGTACTATATAGTGCATATGGAGAACCTACTAAGTAAATAACCAATGCAAGTTGACATACCAGATAAGTTATATAGATTTCTGAGTGGTGATCCTTCGCTAGTGAAGTAGGTTGCCCAAAAGCTACAAAAATGAAAAGCTACAAGTCATTGCACTTTCCATTGAGCTTTCAACAACCATTATGAAATTTCCCCACGTTACTTAAACAATAAAGAAATGAACCTGAGCAGGAAAGCGCATAATACTATAGCAGAATTCTGGAAAACTGAATTTGGTACTTATAATTAATATTCATTTATTTCTTTCCTTAAAAGTTTTATCTGTCAATATTATAAAAGAAGCAGTAGCAGTTGCCATTGTTCCACCAGCAACTACTCTTTGTAAAAAACCAGAAATCCATATTACCGTATTGAATCTGGCTTCAAGATTTCAAACAGACTGCATCTTTAACCAAGCAACCAGATCCATACCAGAACCTGTACCCCCCAACTTAAGATCATTTCCCCAAAGAAGAAGAGCAACCACCAAAAACCCATACCTGATACAGAAATAGAAAAAGGAAAGAAGAAACAAACCTGGGGAAGAGAAAAATGAGCCTCAGATCAATTAGAAGCATAAACTGCTCTGTTGCTCAATCCATCTCACCTCTTGCTTGCAACTTCCTCTTTTGGGATGCAGCGGGGGTTACCATTATAGACATATCAGGCAAACTCAAAAGTGGCATAGGGTCAGCAGGAACACCAACTGGTTGCAAATCTTTTGGAGCTCCCACATTAGAACCTAACAAGAAGTTTTGAAGCCTTTCTCTTAGAAAAGGAGAAAGCACATCACAACATGTCAGAACATCCATTGAACAAACCACTCCTTTCTGAACAAGTGTACCAAAAGCTGATGACACACCTCTAACTATAATACTCTTGCGATCTAAATCATAATTGTCCACAAGCAGCAACAAAAACTCAAGAAGCGAGTGAGTCAATTTCATGTATTTTGGCATGGAATATACCATCAACAGCATTGCAGGCTCAATATTCATGACATTGTCAACTCTTTCATCAAAGAACAGCCAATCATAAAACAATGCCAGCTTCGCAACAGCTTCAAAGTAACTTTTTCTACAACATGTTAGTAACCAACCTATTACAGCCCATCTGGGAATTATATCTGACTGAATAACTTCATTAGATGGGTGGTGTGAACAACATATGAAACGAACAATATCAACTACAACAGCTTCCCCCCCTGGCCTTAAAAGAAATTTCTTTGCAAACCATGCCTGGTAACGCTTCTGGCTCCCAAACTTCACACATGAGAGTAAAAACCGCAACTGAGTTTCCATTTCTGGAGTGATCCGGAGTAAGAAATAACAACCAGAGGTCCTTGTTCTGTATAATTGAGAAATATCCAAAAATCCAGTAGCCCTAAATTTGCCAGGATTTAACACCAAATCTTTCCAAATAGCTTTAAACTCAGGTACATGAACTAAGTCCTGTAGTAACCGAATAAGATCCCTCCCTATTTTCAAACATAAATGAAATTGTTCCCTCAACAATTTGACACAAAACTTAATCTCCAATTGCTTCAAGGCATCTAATTTCACATCAACTGATAATCTACAATGATCAGCTAATAAACGAAGATAAGCATACAATGCACTAGTCATTACCAACGGCTCTTCTTCTAATAGACAATCCCATTTACACAAAAAAAGATTTGCTAACTCAGAGCACAACCACAAATTCCCTTCACTAAAATCAGCACCAACAACTTGTCTCACTAAACACACCAGCAGACCATCAATACCAATTGCTGAAACATCAACCATCTCCTTAGTAACCCAAATCAACTGATTTTTAGCAGAATCAACAAGCTTCAGATACAATTCATTGACAATTTTGACAAGCAAACTCAAAAATAACTCATACCCATCAGTTACAATAGCATGTAAGTGCTTCATGTGGACCTTTGCTTTATGGGGTTCACATAAAACCCCATAAAGAATCGCCTGATTGAGATGCATGTATTCTTCTGGGTTTGAGATTGTTAAGGGAAAAGGTGGTCTGAGTTTTGATTCAAGAAGCTCAAAGGCTTTCTTAAGAGAGAGCTGTAGTTGGTTTTTGGCTTCATAGGATGCAAGTAAAATCAGTTCTGAAGCCATAATGAATTACCATCAAAGGCATAGAATAAAATGAAATGCAGAGAAAGGGAGAATTGAAGTTGGGTCTGGGTTTTACCAGCCTGTTCTGGTAGGCCTAGTACTTGTCAGTTGAGCAAAAGGAGGGTAAATGAGAAAATCTCTAACCTTTCTGGCTGCAAGTTATGTCGTTCACTGGTATAACAAATATTGCTGCAAAAAAATTTCAAGAACGAGTATGAAATTAACCATCCATGGAAGATGTTAATTATACAAGCAAAAGAAAAAGCAAAGAAGAAAAATAAATAAATAAATAAACAAATAAACCATCATAGTCAAAGATGGAGAAATAAAAAATAAGAAATAAATAAATAAATAAAACAAAAAGCTAGCAGAAGTACCGAGGGACACCGCCACTGCCCACTCCAGCAGTCATCCATACAGAAACTTCTCCAGGCTAAGTTTAGATTGTAGGTGACTCGGCCTAATTATTGTAGAGCAAACAACAAATAGGTTGTGGAGAGACTATGAATTATAATCTTTGAAAACACCCTAGCAACAACCAGTTAGAGGCCATCCTGTATGGCCTAATGCTCAATGCTTAAACTGTTAATAATGCCTATATGCCTGGCATACCCTATAATCCAATTGCCATTATGATCCCTAGAGATCCCTCCCCTGACAGCAGGTGTGGGTATGCCTAAAGCAGCACCATCGATATTATGTTTAACAAAATTAGCCAAATTTGGAAGAGGTTTATCCCAACAAAACAGGACATGTTGCCTATTGGATGCCTTACACTGAAGACTGAACAGGGAAAACCAACCAAAATTCAACAGCTTTATCAATAATAAGAGGAAACCATTTAGAATCTTGAAAATCAGAATCCCTACAACTCGTCATTCCTCTATAACCAAACTCCCCAAATAGCAAAGGAAAAAAAGTAGCCCAAGAAATTTTGAGAATACAGGAATCATCCATACATTTAGAGCTTGCTCTTAACCAACCAATAAAAGAAACAGTAGAATGCTTGGGTAATCACAACAGGGATGACTTTGTTCTAAATGTTGAGTATGAATATGTTAATTGTTAAAATGGACAGATTTTCAAGTCTTAAAGCAAGGAATTTTTCTGGTATGAAAGTTATGCTTCTTAAATAATTAAAGAGCTTCTTCCAATTAAAATCTCAAACTAAAACCTACCTACCAACATATTAAGGAGTGCCATCACTAAATTGGAATTGATTTAAAAACCAAAATAATTAACACAAGATTACTGCATTTGAATTACTGCAACCAAACAAGTTCATACAACACAGAATTCAATTAATAATGACCAAAATTGAAAAATAGATTCACAATTTGAAAGTTCCTACTCCTTAGCACAGCTGATGTTCTCCTAAGCTTCGATGCTTAACCAAGTGCCAATGGCCTGCACCAACATAGAATTCAACTCACATTAAGCTTAAACTAAGCTTAAATTAAATAAGAAAATAAAGGTCCAAGCCACAAAGATACTGTTGAACTTAGAAAATAAAGGAATGACCAGCAATATTGAACTTGGAAAACATCACAAAACCTTTAACAGCAATTTCCGAAACTAAAGCTAAATCACGAAACTAATCACAAAAGAACAAATATAAAGTTGAGTTTGAAACAAAAACCACATGCAGAAAGTGAAGAAAGAAGATCTAGTGTTTCCAATGCCAAAGAAATCCACCAAAATGATTTAGCATACAGGAGAGAAAAAGACATGAATCTAATGAAAAAGTAAACCAAGGAGATCTGAAAGAAAGAGATATACTCGGAGCTAAAAAGCGATTGTGGTGGCAACAGCGTAGCACAAGGCTGCAGCCTTGATGTTTGCGGCTTTGGAGCAAAAGGACTCTCCCGCTGCTCAACCACACCTCCCAAATCCCTCGATTGTTTCCTGCACAACCACACGGTGAGGTTCGTTACCTTGACCATCTCATCGCCACCGCCCGAATGTTCAATTCTCAAATTTCAGAGTCATAAGCAGGGGATTTTGAAAATCTAAGAAGAAGACACAAACCTGGAGTACTTGATGAGATTCGAAGGAGAAGACACAAAGGATAACGCGAAATCAAAATCTGAGAAATCAAAATCAAAATGAATATCAAGTTGGAAGAGAAGTCAAAATAAAAATCAAAATTGAAGCTACAATCGCTGGAACCTAATGGAGACATTTGAAGTTTACCTACCACAATTGGTTTAGGGTTTCTTCTTACCTGTTTGAGCAGCTTCACAAGCCCTTGTTGACCACTACTTGACTGGTGTGAGGACCTGCAAAACAGACTGAACGGTTGTCTGCTAGCATAATAGAGAGAGAAAAGCTCTAGAAGAAATCTCTGAGAGGTGTGGCGTATTTATAGATTCCTTAAAAGTACTTTACACGTATTGCATTAGTTCCTTTTGATCTATTGAGGATATATGAGTTGTGTAGTAATTCATGCATCTGCTGTTTTATATTTGGCTTCATGGGGCTTTATTACATTCATGGACTAGTTAGATTATTATCCCAATAGGACTCTCCTTTCAATGATTTGTAAGCTTGCTAAAAAATACAAGGGTTCAGCTTCTTGCTTTTATAGGTTGTAAAGAGGTTCAATTTATTCTTGAGAAACCTGGCTTGGAAACCTTGATTTGAGATTTCCAACCTGTAAGCTAAGACTTGAAACTAGAGAGCTCAGATTGACAACCTGGAACCAAGAAGCTCAGATTGACGACTTGGAACCATGGAGCTCAAGAAGCTCAAATTGATGACCTAGAACCAGGAAGCTTAAGAAGCTGAGTGCGACGACCTAGAACTAGGATATTGGGAGTGACAATTTGGAAGATACCAACCTCTCAGGTTTCCATGAATTTAATCACGAGGCATATCAAAGAATGTCATCTTGGAACTTGACGACCTGAAAGAGATGACGCAAAAGATATTTCTCGAGTCTTCATGCTTGAACTTGATGTCATGAGGAATAACAAAGAATGTTGTCCTGGAACTCAACAACTTGGAATCTCATGGGCCATACTGTAGAAGCTAGATCTTTAAGGAACATGCTCTGTAGAGCTAAGAAGCTGATAGGTTGAATGCTAACTTGGCGGCTAGAGATGTCTACCTTGACATCCCTCCTTAAGATGTCCATATGAAAATCTTGACTTTTCAAGTCATAACATAGGAATCAAACCCTTTGAGGGTTGTGCCCCGTAGAGCTAATGAACTGAGCTTTCATAGAACAAATGAGTTGAGACGCTAATAATTGATGGGCACAAGCTTTTGCAGAGCAAATGAGTTAATCATTTTTAGGAGGTTTGAGCTTTGTGATTTGAGCCTGCAATGTTTAAAGGTATTACTTAAAATCTAGTCCAAGCACTTTAGATTAGAGTTTTGAGCTCACCACACATGGTTTTTACTCAATTTCACTAGAGCCTTAGCACAATTTCTCTAGAGCCCACTCATCAGCATCTTAGCTCAAATTTTCTATTGAAGCTTGCCCATGTTGGGTCTCAATTCGTAATTCTTCATAGGAGCTTATCCATGTAGGGTCTTAGCTTGTTCTCTGAGGTTGTAATTCTTTGTTGGACGATTCAAGTCATAGTATTCAGGTGTTTCTAGAGTTAAACCATTTAGGATCTCAGGTTGTAATTCTCTATGAGAGCCCACCCATGTAGGGTTTTAACTTGTAGTTCTCTATGGAAGCCCACTCATGTAAGGTCTTAGCTTGTAATTCTTTATCTAAGCTTTCTCAGCTTACCATTCTTCATCGGAGCTCTTTGAGCTCGTCATTTTCATCTGAGCTCTTTTAGCTCGTCATTTTTCATTTGACCTCTCTCAGCTTGTCAATCTTTATCAGAATTCAGCTCATCAATCTTTATCAAAGCTCTATAAGTTCGTCATTTTTCATCTAAGCTCTCAGCTCATAATTCTTTGTTGGATCTTTGTCAGCTCATCATTCTTCGTTGAAGATTTGTCAACTCGTTATTTTTTGTTGGAGCTCTATCAACTCATCATTGTTCGTTGAAGCTTTGTTAGGTTGTTATTCTTTATCGGAGCTTCTTGAGCTCGTCTTTCTTCATTGGAGCTTTGTAAGCTTGTCATCGAAGCATTATGAGCTCATCATTCTTTGTTGAAGCTCTACGAGCTCATCATTATTTATCAAAGCTCTATCAAAAGTTATTCTTTGTTCAAGCTTTGCAAGCTCATCATTGGAGCATTATGAGCTTGTCATTCTTCATCTGTGCTCATTTATGCTAGGTCTCAGCTTGTGATTCTTTTTAAAAGGTTCACCAAATAAAGATTTGGATCTTGCTTAACCCAAGTGGAGATTTGGGTCTTGGTCAACCCTACTCATTCATTGGTGGGGTCTTCAAGTGGTAGATAAAACTCTAATGTAAGAGCTCACCAAATGAAAATTTGGATCTTGCTTAGTCCTGCTCATTTATCAAAGAGGTCTTGGGGTGGCCGATAAAACATTGATGTAAGAGCTCACCAAATGAAGATTTAGATCTTGCTTAGCCTTGCTCATCTATTGACGAGGTCTTAGGGTGATAGATAAAACACTGATGTAAGAGCTCACCAAATGAAGATTTGGATCTTGCTCGGCCTTGCTCATTTATCAAAGAGGTCTTAGGGTAGTAGATAAAACATTGATGTAAGAACTCACCAAATGAAGATTTGGATCTTGCTCTGCCCTGCTCATTTATCAAAGAGGTCTTAGGGCAGTAGATAAAAACTAATGTAAGAGCTCACCAAATGAAGATTTGGTTCTTGTTTCGCCCTGCTCATCTATTGATGACTTGAAACCAGGAAGTTGAGGAATGATGACCTAGAACCAAGAAGCTGAGGAATGATGACCTGGAAAACTAGGAAGTTGAGGAATGATGACCTGGAAAACCAGGAAGTTGAAGAGTGACAATTTGGAAAACCAAGAAGTTGGGTAATGACGACTTGAAATCAAGAAGCTGAGGAATGACAACCTATAACCAGGAAGCTGAGGAGTGACGACCTAAAAACCAAGAAGTTGAGGAAGCTGAGTGGTGATGACCTAGAACCAAGAAGTTAAGGATTGACGACCTAGAAACCAAGAAGCTGAGGAAGTTGAGGGGTGACGACTTGAAACCAGACCTGAAACCGAAAATTTAAGGAGTGACGACCTATAACCAAGAAGCTGAGGAATGACGACTTGGAATCGGTAAGCTGAGGAATGACGACTTGGAACCGAGAAGCTAAGGAATGACGACCTGGAACCGAGAAGCTAAGGAATGACGACCTGGAACTAGGAAGTTGAGAAATGATAAATCTAGCTTCTCCCTCTCCCTTCTCGGTCAACAATGACCACAAAGCATGAAAGCTTTTTATTCAATTCCCATAGACAGCACCATTCGTTTGGGCAGCTTCACAAGCCCTTGTTGACCACGACTTGACTGGTGTGAGGAGTTGCAAAATAGACCCAAGGGTTGTCCCCCGAGGTAGACACTCCGATGTCCAAGTTAGCAATATTCTATACTTGGGGCTCTTTTTAGAGAGAGAAGTATAATAGAGAGAAGAGCTCTCGGAGAAGTCCCTTACCTTTGACAGGTGTGGGGGTATTTATAGATTCCTTAGAAGTACTTTACATGTGTTGCACTTATATTAGTCTTTTTGGATCCATTTGAGTGTATAAGAGCTCCATAATGACGCATGCATGTGTTCCTTTGCATTTGGGCCTCATGGGCCTTTGTTACGTTTATGGGCTAGTTATATTACTATCCCAACATTACCAAAGGGAAAGAATCTAGAAATGAAAAGAATGAGAGAGAACTAGCAATGAAATAGAAAATAATTGAAAGACTACGAGGTAATTCTGGGTTTGGGGATAAAAATAAAATAAATATAAAATAGAAATCAAAAACCAAAAAGTTAGGACTGTCTACAGCATTGCCATCCATTGTGTGGCTCCCACATGAATCTCAACATAGGGTCACATGATGGATGGATCTACCCTTAGCAAGACTCTTAGCAATCTTGACTTTTTGCAACCTCAATAGAAATACTAATGAAAGAGGCTTAGTTTTGGGAAATTAACATGGGGACTTAATTCTGAATGGACTCTAACATGATGTTCTCCTTCAATTTATTTTTTAACTTAGAAGCGCTTCTCAAGTGTTGGAAATGGATACATTTCCAAATGCATATATGAAGCACCCACAAAGAACCCTACCCCAACTTCAAATTCCCAACACACATGGTAAGCGTCTCAAATAAAGTGCAGACAAATCCCATAATTCTTGTAGTGAGCATAATAACTATTTTTGTTGTTACAAATTTTTTTAATATTTTTGTTTTCTTTTTCTTCATGCACAATCCATTATATAAGAAAAAGATATGTTTGATTCTTCTTTTCTTTTCTTAAGATATTCTCTTCATTATTGTTAATTTTGTATTGCTATAATTCTGTTTCTTGAAATTTGCTTCCCACTATTTATAATCCAATGATTAATTATTCTCAAATCAACAAGGTAAGTACATTTTCCTCTTTTGATTGTATTCTTCTCTAAATTTTTTCCTAAAAAATTTCTCTTTTTCTAATAACCTAATAACTATATTTAATCCATCGAATTTATTCCCAAATTAGTGGATTTGTAAAGGTAAATTTTTAATTTTTGTTCTTAGCTGTTTTACTAGGTTTTTATTTGTTTCCTAAAATTCTTAATCTTTTCTTTTCTTTTTTTTCACTAAATATTTGGTTGCAAAATAATTGGTTAGAGAATATAGGGTTTTCCACTACTAATTTTTTTGATCTAATAATGCAACTTTTTATCTAATTCTTTTATATATTTCATTATATCTTTTTTAAAACTCACAATCCATAATCACTACATTGCTCAGAAAATGTTTTCAATAAGAAACAAACAATGACCTTTAAGAATTGTGAAACCAAATAATTTCAAAAAACATTGATTTTTCTAACTAGAATATTCTTCTATTATTTGCAGTCTTTAAAACGTTTCTTCATATGATTTCATCTATGATCTAGTGTGTTAAAAAAAAAAAATTGTAGGAATTGATAAAGGAGTACGATCAACCTATTTTACTAAAAATTTACATGATGAATGCAAAATCAATAAAGGGTATACTATAGATGAAAGAACAAGTTGATATAGCAAATCTAGATAGAATTAATCTTTTGATTTCACTTTGTTGCCAAGAAGTTAAAATCAAGTTGATATTGTCTAAACAAAAACCGACCATACCAAGGGGATTGTTAAACCCTTAATTAAGGTGATCAAAGACCTAAAATCCTCTAACAAAAGATAAGAAATTATAGTGATTCATTTACATTCATAACAATAAGTGCTAATAAATAAAGAATCAAAGGCAATGGATAAGATAGAATTAGATGATGAGGTTGCAAGATAAGTTATAATTCTTTAGGATGTGATTTGTAATTAGTATAGAATTAAAATGAAATTTGATACGTGGGTTATTTGAATTGCACATAATAGTATCTAAAATTTCTTAGATTTTACTATCAAAGGGTCCAACATGGAACTTGTTGATGCATAGTTCTGATTTATGCTACTTTGACAAAGCCAAGAGTCCAGGGGTAGCATTCTCTCTAGTAGTGATCCACACATCTTTGGGATTAAGAGAGGATAAAAAATGCTCAAGTGCTAGCTAAAGAGGATTTTAATTCTTTCTTCTATTCTTGATAATGATTCTACAAAATAAAATCAAGAAGAATAAATTGTTAATCTTCCTTGATTTTTGCAACAAGGAGAGTTCTCACTAGAAAAGTATTTGCTCTCTCGTCCACGAGCGGGTGGATGAGTTGGCAGGGGATTCTTCTAGATTAATTAGAGGTTTTGGTTTCAAGTCCTAAGAATGCAATTCCGTTAAAACTCATGAGGAGGAGCTTTGCCGCCCATTAAGTCTTGTCTAACTTGAATCCGGATTAGTCAGTGACCTAGTGGATTTCCGGATACTTGGTGGTTCATACAAAAAAAAAAAAAAAGTATTTGCTCTCTCCTTTTACGTGGTCTAAGGCTACAATAAAGTAGTAGAAAATTATGTTTTCTACTCTTATTTATTCTACTATTCAATTCGTCCCAATATAATAGATCATTTTTTATTTTATTAGATTAAGTATTTGAAACAATTTATAATTTTACCTATATTATCCTTTAAAATCAAATAAAAATAATGAGACTTAAATCATAATAAAATGGAAAAATAAAGTTAAGGGATAGATAATGATAAAGTTAAAATAAGAGAAAAAGTTGCCTTTCTTAAAATATGAAAAATGGACTTATTATAAGACAAATTATAATAAATTAAAAAATATTTATTATTTTGGAATGTGGAGAGTAAGAAATAGAAAGAAAATGGTAATTATAATTAAGGTTATCAATATCATATCAATATGTGTATCAATTTGGCTATTGAAATGTTATATATTGGGTATTGAAATTTTTTTTGTGCAGTTTCAAATTTATCATTATAAATATATATTTTTACATAAACTAAATTAACATTGTTGGTACACCCTTAGAATCAACACACTCATTACAAAATTTATTATTTTTTAGTATGAAATTAAAGATAGACAAATTTAAAGATGCAATCATACATATAATATGCAAGAATTAATTGAATTGACTATATTTATATTATATTTTAGGACAATGATACATCCACCCAATGAACCAATACTCATCTCAACACCTATGTTGTTTTGAACAGTAAAATTACAAATTTA